TTGCTGCACTAAGGGTGTGTGATAGGAGACTCGGGCATTGAAGGATGAACAACCATGGAAAGACCAAGGTCGTTTGGCTGTATGGAGAGGAATGCTGGGCCGGGATGGAGTTCATTGGACCGCAGCCAGCTTCACTGCGTGGTCGTTACGGTCAGTAGGAAGCAGTACTATCTCACAGCAGCAAGCGTTTGAGGCGATTTATGTAGGCGTCGCAGCTTTGGATCGAGTACCGCCACAATAACTTTCAACCAGGGCTGAACAAAGGACATCCAACCGGACTTGGCGGGCCAGTCACGTACACCGGATGATAACAGATTCGGCCCCTCTCGGAGCGGGTTGCTACTACTTGGTCTGCCCGAGACAGGAGTTGGATCGGATTTCCCCTTTACTTGAAGAATGGGAGTGACGCCGCGAAAGGCAGCAATGGATAAGGTCGGAATACAAATGCAAGTAAACCAGGTGATGTGTTTGTGACAGACCTGGAGAAGAACTATCATGGCAGTCTTGCCTGAGAGCGGAACAACTCATAAGGCACAAAGTATCTTGTCAGTGATTCACACACAAAGATCCTCTCCTGTTTCTTCTTTTCCTTTGGTTAGCTCAATTGGTTGATTGATGTGTTCAATTCTACGACGACTCACAACATTATTCTAGTGTAATGCTTGCCTTGTGCGCGCCCCCCAGGCAGGCACACCCAGGGCCAGTATAACGAGTACACTCAATGCCCACACACGCGTTCTACGAACAACAAGCTCGACCACTCCCATCACGGTGGTATCCACCGCGACAATATCCACAACACCCACATCCGCCGCCGCCTCACGCGGGGATGCTCGGACCTGCTCAACAGTCGCGACCTTGTTCGCCGCGGTTCGCAGAGAGGTCGCAGCATGCTTCCTAGCAGCACCAGGGATATTACCCGTGACAGCAGCCTACACGGGGCTATCGACAGCAGTACTGGAATGCGGAAGAGTATGGATATCCCCAACATGGAGAAGATCGGGGACTGTACGATCATCGTTACTATTCAGACTGAGAATACAATGTCACCTCCCGAGCTTCTACTTACCCCACCCGCCACGTTCTCGGCCCTCAAGGCGTCCAGTCTCGCGGAGGCGGCAACCGAGGGCTAGGGTCCAAGCCAAAGCCGTGACCGTGGCGACGAACCTTACCATGCCAGAGACAACGACGTCAACTACGAACTAGGAGCCTTACCTTAGGCAACTGCTTTCCCCTTTCCCGGAAGTTGTTCAGCATCACTCGTCAGGAAATCGATTACTAGCCGTCACTAAGGCGCTTGGCCAGCATTCGTTAACGCCTCCCGATACCCAGAGAATTCAACTCTATCAGCCGGCCACTGCGGACACAGTTCCAACCGCGTCTCCCGCACCCGCATCAAGAGCAGGGTGCATTTGGCGAGCTACAAAGTGCAACTTCAACTACTCAGATCCCACTGCACTAAGCAAGGACTTCTAGTGGATGAGGTAATACTATTGGAAATCCGTCCCTACCACAGGTAATACCATTCTCCTCGTGGAAACATCTCGAGAATGGCACCGACACCCAAAGCAAAGTGAAAGCAGGCGAAGAAGCTGGAGCCGAGATGCTCATTCGTAACCCTTCTCTGGATCTTCAATTCGCCCGAGAACGAACCTGAGGATGACCATGGATAACAGCACGAGACTGCAGACGGGGACCAAGACGAAATGCACAAAGAAGAGGAATGAGATGGTAATGGAAAACAAGGAGACAACGATATAGCAGAACCAGACTTATTCTCTATTGCGAGTTGTGAGGATGAAGGGATCCAGTCCTATGACTACAGTCGCACCTTACTGTGTGCTCATGACCAGTTCAACGTCATAGGGTAATCTGAAAACGCAACCGCCTCGACCCAAAAAACCGGACTAAAGCGACGAGGAGATCTGCAACTTCGGAAAATAGCCCAAGAACAGGAATTAACACAAGGACCCATCCATTATGGAGAGCAACGGCCGAACTTTACATATACGCTGTTGAAATAAATCCGATATGGAGGCCATTAAACGAAGATTATGCGATAGTTCCACCATGGCTTCCTCAGCACGGAAGGGTGCCGAAAGAATGAAGTAGCACACCGGCATCGCTAATGGAATGTCTTTGTGGATTTAGACTCTGTCGTCCTCGTCCAACTTGGGCCGGATACAAGGTTTCAGCCACCTTTCAGAACGCTGTGGCCATGTCTACTTCATCAATGTTGGTCTACATGACGCTCAGTGGCAGCATGCCACTGTGGGACTACCTCCTGGCGACGATTGATATCCTGGTTGTGAACCTCTTCACAAGTATCAGCTTACTTTCTCATCCGATCTGTGATTGGTGGGGTGGAGTGCCTTATTGGTTCGAACATTTACTCTTGTCACTCTTGGTGATGATATCTTCGGGCCTGATAATGTCGCCTGCCTGGCTCGTATAGTGGTTCGACTCGCCTGACGCCTGCCAGCCTTGTGCCGCAATCCAGCTGCCGATTTATGGTGGGCAAACACGCGGATGCGCCGCTTTCAGGTTGGCGTTGAAGGACCTTCTTGCATTTTCTTGCAAATACCTCTTCATTTCCAAGGGTCTGCTCAACGGCATGGTACCCATATACCACAATGGGCTTTTCCCCGTGCTTCTTTGTCGCCAAATTTAGACGCTCGCATTCACACAAGACTCACCTCAAGGCTTTCATCATGTACGTCCAGTTATTTTTGGGCCGAAGAAACCCTTGGCTTTCCAGTCTAAGTGGGTTGATCCCCGACAGAAGCTACTTATAGCAACGACGTGCCTTAGCAGTACAGCAACGCCTCATCCACCAATCCCGACGCCGGCGCTTTGATTCTTCGCTGACCACCCTCAGCGTCATCTGAGGCTCAAGAATTCTTGCTATGGATACCAAATGGTGTAATCCTCAAAATGTCCCCGTTACACTTTCCAATAGAAGCATGGCGCTTGCATTGCGAACTCTTATGTCCCGGATCGAACAGCTGCTCCACGGAGACATTCCGGTTTACCTCGGATGCCCAAATTGTCGCCAATTCCCTTCTTCGTGTCCATTAGCGGTCAGAATCTCTTTTGCTTCATTGGTGCCCAAGATCTGTGGCTTTCAACAGGATCTCATGCCTGTGGTCAAAGACGATGAGATTTCTCCATCTGGCAAGGAACGAGGTTGCGGGTGGCCGTATGTCAGCACGGCACGCGCGGAACAAGCCTATTGGCCTCCTGGACAAATATGGATCATGAAACGCAAGCTCTGGCCATCAGAGGCATGTCTCTCATGCATGTTGAGTGATCCGGGGTACCGCAAGGACTCTGTGACAATATGGCTCGTCGAGCGGTCAAATTCCTCGAAAAGGCTTGGAGTGAGCGGCTGGGGCATGGCTTTGATATACTGTATATACCCTTTGAGGTGTCCCCATGAAGACCACCAGTGGCTGACCTGGCTAGAACAAAATTCAAGATGGCATTGTCAAACACCAGCCTCTCAGACCTTGAAACTCTCGCTGCAACATGCCTGGTGCAGGCAGGCTTGTTCCAGCGCAAGCTCGAAAGCTCCAAGCTTGTGAACGGACACGCAAAGTCTGCGCAACAAGGAGGTGCTGAATTGAGAGATATGCGCTTGTCCTTGTTTGAGTCGGTACAGAATCTTCTCTTGATGGCGATTCCGCCTGAATTCGTCCTGACGCAAGGACTCTCTGCAAGTGTGGGTTCCCATCTGTCTATGTTCTAGGGCACAGCTGAAATGTTCCAGATCATGGACCTTACAGCACTGCGATACATCAACCGCTTTGCTATAGCCAAAGGAGTGCCAATCGACAGAGCAATATCTTATACGGCGTTAGCTAAGATTACCGGCGTCGACGAATCTCAAATGAAGCGAGTACTCCGATACGCCATGACGAAGGGAATCTTTTTCGAGGTCGACGGCGAAGTGGCGCACACCGAGACATCCCTTCTTCTCCTCCAAGATGGCATTGCCACTTTGAGTAAATATTCCAGTGACCGAGGATGGCCGATTGCAAGCCGCTTCAATGATGCGATTGACAAATGGGGCCACGGCTCGCCAGAGCCAAACGAGACGGCATTCAATGTTTTTAAGAACACGGATCTGTCCATGTTCGAGTACCATGAGCAGCACCCCGAGTTTGGGGCCGATTTCCACGCCGTCATGAATCAGTTCACAAAGTCACCGCCACTGTCACATGAACACATCAAGTCGGCATATGAATGGAGCAGCCTATCCCATGCAACAATCGTCGATGTTGGCGGTAGTCTCGGCCATGGCAGTATTGCCATTCTCGAGACAAACCCAACGCTCACATGTATAGTCCAGGATCTCCCGAAAACTATCGCCCAGGCGACAGACCCTTCGACCTCGATTGTTCCCGCAAGCATGGAGAACCGGATCAGCTTTCAAGAGCACAGTTTCTGGGACCCCCAGCATGTTGCCGCTGACGTTTACTTCCTCCGAATGATCTTCCATGACTGGGCGGACAAATACGCCAAGAAGATACTGCAGGCTCTTCTGGTGGCCGTGAAACCTGGCTCAAGGATTCTGATCATGGACTACGTCACAATGCCGTACGGTATGCTCAAGATTGGTGATGAGCGACGAATGCGCATCCGGGACATGCAAATGATGGTGATGCACAATGCGCTGGAAAGAGACGAGGATGAGTGGAGACGTCTATTTGCTGAGACTGATTCTAGGCTAAGACTGATCAAGATACGCAAGCCAGCCGGAAGCGCTCTGTCATTGCTTGAAGTGGTTATGGATGACCGACGGGACTCTGTGATTCAACCTTGAGTCCGTAGCCACTCAAAGGAAGAAGCACGAAGTAGGGCGCAAATATCTGTCCTGTGAATTTGAATCGATTCCTTGCTGAGGCGCCATACAAGCTCAGGCTACGGGATGTCTTGACGCTCAAGGTAGCACATGATGGATCCTGGTCCCCTAATACGCCTTCGGTCCCGTTCTCTATCTAGCTTCGATGTACCTGACTAAATAAGCAAGCAAAATCGGCCATGTCTTCCACCTTTTCAAGGCCCCAAGACGCTTCAATCGCCTTTTGAGCTATCTGTTGTCCGAGGATTGGTACTGCTTGGTCCAGGAACTTCTCCTCGAGACTCAACTTTGTCATAGGCTTCGCTAAGGATCCGGTAGCATGCTTGACATAAATCTTCTTCTGATATTCACCACGATACGTGAACGTCAAGTGCGCTTCATCGTCGCGAATTGCTTCATCTGTTGTCACCTTGATCTTGTCTCTCACAGAAGCAATCGCAACATCGTTGCAAGTCTGATCCGAGAACTGTGTGGGCCCAGCATGCCCATAGACTAGTGCGACTGCGCATCCGTGATATAACGAGAAAATGGTTTCGAGACCGGACTGGGGATGCTTGATCGAGCAGAGCCGTACGCATTGGGGATTCACGACTACGTCAACCTCCTCCAGCTTTTCTGCGATTGCCCTGTCATCTGAAAATGCCTCCAAACAGCCATCTATGAGTGGATGGATGACGATTCCGCACGGGTATGGCTTGAAAGTGTTCTCGAGGATCTGCCATTTCTTGTCTTGTGTGAGTGTCGATATCAGCTGCTCATCGACCGTCGACGATACTAGCTTCGCCCATGATTCAATAGATCGGGTACAGCTTTCAAATCCGTGGGATGCTAAATTTGCTGCAAGAATCCCGTTTTGTGCAGCTCTCCCCATGTGCAATGTCTTTGTGTCTGTCCCGAACATTGCCCTGATACCCGCTGCCATGCTGCAAGCATGGCCAAGAGCGGCCGCATACCGCTGTGGCTCAAGCTTTAGTCCCTTTGCAACAGATGCCGCAGCGCCAAATGATCCAGTCGTGCCTGTGATGTGCCTGGAAGAATAAGCCTTGGTCGGTCAGTCGTGCTGCTTGCTTACCACCCATCTCGGTAGTGCCCAGGCGATATCGCATTCCCCACAGCGCATTGCGCTTCAACTCCACAGACAAAGGCAAGCAAGAACTCTTTGCCTGATAAGTGATGGTGCTCCGCCCATGAGAAAAGCGCCGCAAGAGGTGTCCCGGAAGGGTGGATCACCGTTCGAAGGTGCGTGTCATCGTAATCGGCTGCTGTAAGGGCAATCCCGTTGAGCAGAGCAGCATCTTCCACACTTGCCCGCTCGACTCGGCCAAGAAGACTGGCTTGATCAGCCTGCTTGATCAAACCAAGAACTTTCTGCGTTGATGAGACTTGTGAGGAGCCCAGTCCGCAGCCCAAGCTGTTGAGAATCCCACGTTTTGCCTGCTCAACAACCTGCTCTGGGAGATCTTCATAATCCAATTGAGAGAGGAATCGTGCAAGCTTAGCGGTGTGGTCGACCACGGCCATTTTCGAACGAGAATGATGTAGTGGTTGATTTCACAGATGATCTTCTGGAATTTGGAGTCGTGGAAACAAACCACTGTCGAATCATCTCCAAACGGCCAGTGAATTTGGAGAATGTTGCGGGCTTCAGTCGTGGCTCCCCAAACCACTGGCATCACCTCCAGATATGCTACCTCTTTCGCTTGCCCACAGGCTTCAGAATGACACGAGACCATGGTTTCTGATGAACCTCGGGTTGAAGTCCGACAATTTAAGCGGGGTAGACGGACGCCACGTCCTGTGCTTCAATTTGCATCACAAATCTTTCACTATGGTGGCACAAAGTCGTATAGTGAGCGTGCATTTTGCAAGTTCAAACCGGTGTCCGCGCCTGGGATGCTGTGGACGTGTCAAACATTGTAGTTCCCTTAATTGCATGGTTGGCTAGTATTTAAGTCGAGAGACTCGGCATTCTTGGCAGCACGTCGAGCCTAAATCTAGCCCCCATTTATGACTCTGTCACTCAACGTAACATACACCGGCGTGTCACCCTTTTCATCTAGCAGAGATGACGACTGCAATGCACCTCCATGTCCAAGAGAGATGGATTCATTAGGCGTCTCTTCTGTGGCGACTGCCCTCTTCAAGCGGCGGGATCTTTTCCCCTTGTTACTGCGCGAGAGTACCTCCTGTACTGCCCGGAATATAAACATGGGTACGTGACTTGCCGAACTATGGCATGGGGCTGAAGATGGGAGACTTTCTACTGGGGATGTGCTCACTCTCGCATTACTAGGAACCAGTCCTGCCCCGCGGAGGAGGATTGCATTGCGGTTAATGCCACTAGGTGGCTCTGTTACTTACGGCCAAGGATCTACAGATGGAAACGGGTATCGGGGTCACCTACGCCAGCTACTCCTCTTGAACGGATACGAAATCGATATGGTCGGATCACGCAAGGCTGGATCTATGGAGAACAATGAAAACGAAGGGTGGCGAGGTTATCGCATCGATCAAATCTTAGCGAAGGCCGAGAAATCCCTCCTGACGCATATGCCGAACGTTTTCACTGTCAACGCAGGCTCGAATGACTGCATTCAAGATTTCGAAATTGACGGAGCTGGCGAACGAATTCGTAAAATGCTGGAGACTTTATGGGGGAGATGCCCGGACGCCATAATCATCCTTTCAACTTTACTCATGACTGCGCACGGCAGTACAGAGCAGCGAGTGCTTCGTGTAAATGCACAACTGGCGAACTTGGTAGAGAAGCACTTGAATACGCACAGAAAGATAGTACTGGCTGACATGCACGGTGCTACGGGCCCTCAGCTCTGTGATTTTGTAGACGGAATACACCCAAACGATATTGGCTACCAAAAGATGGCTAGTATCTGGTATCAAGGTATTCAGGAGGCTGTAACTAGAGGATTTTTGTAAGGTATTCCCGTTTTGCATCGGGATACTCTGTGTAAATACCTATGCGTGGAACAGATCGCACATCGTGGCACCGGCATGTCTCTACATAAAATGAAGTCTGTCCGGTACAGTAGAGACAGAAAATGGCCGCTAGTATTTCAGTTGGACGGCAAGAATCGTGCCGTGATTGGAATCACAAAGAGGATGCTAGAGTGTGCCGCCCTTCAATTTCGTGCTTGCGCTCTCTCCATATTGTAGCATTCACGACGAGAGTGTGAGCTGCATTACCATTTCTCCTTCGGCACATATACCTTCCAGTGCTTGTGATCGAATCCCTCGCGAATGTCACCGACACCTTTTATCGAGCAATCGAAGAACTTCGCGTCGGTATAGTGTTCGAATGCAAAGCCCATCCTCCCATGCTTTGTGAAAACGCCGAGCAGACCTTTCGGTAGCGTGATATATACCCAATTCGGATGCGTCTGGATGGGAGATTCGTTAGAGCTGAGGAGCAACCTGTACCATCTCTGCAACATTAAATGAACAAAATGTGTGCATTATAGCTGTGGCAGAGCGCCGTTGTGTGGACTTTAACAACGAGAGGTGGCGGTAACTTACAACGGGATAGAGAATTCTTGCGAATGGACATTTTTCCCTGAAGCTTTCAGCAGCCCCTGCTGTCTCAAATTGTAAGACTGGCTCGAGAGGATGGAGGGAGAGGAAAGCGGTTTCCGGCAGCGGGACCTTATCCTGTGGCATCTTTTCCTAGTGGACATTGGGTGAGACATTGACTATCGCCGAGGATCTGGTATGCTTACAAGCACGACAAGTTGATCGTCTTCAGCGGTATGAGAGTAACGGCGATGGTGGCCTACGATGACTTTTGCAGAATCTAGAGCGTCAGGTTCAATACACCGTAGTTTGCGGGCATGCGCTGAGATTCTTTACCTTCGCTACCTGCTCGGGGCAGTTCAATAACAGTAGTCATTACTGACTTGACGTTTTATGAGAGTGTTCCGATAGAGTTTCAGCGGTGCATCACCTCTGACGATACACCGTCGCGTCTTAAATCATAGCATGGAGAGATCCTCTGTCATGGCTTGGCTAAGCCGGCGCCAGCTCGTGGTTTTCTATGTTTGATAAAGTCACCCAAGACACACGTTAACTTTTGGATCTAAGAAAGTTCTCGCTGCAAGCGGCCCGACCCATCAGGAGACGGTCCCAGCAGCACCACTCTATGGATAGAAATCGCCTTGCGTCGGCCAAGTAAGACACGAAGCAGAATTTCCGAAGTTTGTCACACAATAGCTACAAGAAGGAGTCGCATCTACTAGCCCATCTGGCTGCGTCGTTCAACCGAATGCGGAAGTGGATCGTATGATCTGGAGGCTTGAAACGAATCATCCTCTCATGACATCCCAGTCACATGAGGGAGGTCCAAAGACTTCTTTGCACATCAGGTATTGTCCAATTTCAGAATTGGTGATATCGGCAGACGTTTTCGCTAACCATAGGAAAAGGTAGAAAAGTGCTGGGTTTGAACGGAGGTGATGCTATTAGACACTGTGGTTTGTACGATGAAGAGCCGATGATCAGCCATAGAAGTAGAAGACTGGGATGAGTTATCTCCATCTGATGTTTTTCTTCAGCAATCCAGTCGCCAGGATTTTAATTGAGATTCCAGCTACAGCCGCTCTGTTGTTTCTCTCCTCCATTGCCAGCGAGCTTCACTCATACGATGCACTGTCAGGTGGAAGTCTCAGTGTCCGAACACGAGGCCTCAACAAAAGGCCAAGGCTAATATATTGGCGCATTTATTTCCTGATTTTTGAATACCATGACACACCAAATCAACGCCAATTTCAATGCCGGAGCGTTTGTGCTGTGGGTGCCCCACGACTGCTCGCAATGGCAACGAGGAAAGAAGGGATATCATGGTTGAGGGGTAATCACTCAGCTGGCTGGACAGTACGGCTTGGTAAAGCCATCACCACCCTTGGCAACCGTCGAGCTGAGCCTTGCCACCAATAGACCTGAACAGCCAAGCGAAGGAACGAATCTCAGCTACCGTGGGTCAATAGGAGAGGAGTGCTACCTGTATTGGGTTGCACTCCTGTCTTCTTAATATAGGGTCTTCTTACCAAAAGGTCGCAAGTCAGCTGAGACTGATTGGTGTATTCCTACAGATCAAACACCTCCAAAGGAGAGTAGAAAAGCAATCTCGCGTGAAATGCACGACCGGACGCTTGCAAACAGTTGATGAGGCAGCAAGAAGTATATCATTGCAATAATCCTTGATACGATGGTTCGGATAGGCTTCATTTGATGAGAGGTGCTCGAAGGTCAGCTGAACAACCTGATTACTAGCTGAGGAGTAAATACGAAGTAACTTGGCTCATCAAAACTAACACCGACAGCTCTTCCAACTCTGCTACGGGGGATTGAAATCGACGATGTCCCTCCGTCCATTTCTTCCATCGTCTCGCTTCCTGTTGTCCAACAAGACGCAGGCATATTTTCGCAGCGGCATTTCCAATCGCTCGAACATCATGCCCGCAAAACTAGTCCCAGACTACGAGGTGAAGCTCCTTCTGAAGCTGTCAGAAGTACTTGGATCAAACAATAAGCTCAGCAACGCGATCGTGTCAGAGTTCGATATCGCTTCGAGCACGAAGAAGATGAACGTCCAATTTATTGACACTAAGGATCAAGACATCTACACCAGCGGCTGGAACCTCCGCATCCGCAAGGAAGAAGGAGAAAATAACTTTGAGCTAACGTACAAGAAGCGCTATTCGATTGGCGAGGAGTATTCTAGTACCGCCGGAGGTCATATCGATACAGCGCTCGAGACAGCGCAACAAGAGGGATTCGACACTACAACAGAGTACAAGGCGCAAGTTGAAGTAGGATACCAGAAGCAAACTCTCTCCATCAGCTACGATGTTGAAGTTCCCGACGAAGGATCGGAGGGAATGGACTTGCCCAATGCGAAAGTCTCACGCGATCTCCTTACCGACGGTGCGCCCAAAGAATTCGAGAATTGGAATGCTCCAAACTGGGGTGGGAACCACCTCGTAACGTCCATAGTTTATGGACCGGTACACGCAAAGCGATTCAAAGGCAATTGGGACGACGGACTCAAGCTCTCTATCGAAGTTTGGCCAATTCGGAAGAGCAAGGAGGATGCGACCCTTGAGCCTATTGTTGAAGCGTCTTTCAAGACGTCTGACCTCCAGAAGGCGCTGAAGGCGCGTGAGAAAATTGTGGAATTGCTACAAAAGAAAGGCTGGTTTTTGGCCAAGGATTCCCTGAAGACGAAGCTCATCATGGAGCGATACGGATGTTTGGGCGAGTAACACTTTAATAATTCCGCCGGGTGGTTTATCCATCTGCTCTTGCGACGCCTAGTTGTGGAAGTGGATCACGCATGAAATTAGTTCATACCTATGTCATGGTGAATTCGGTGCAGATTGATTCTAATAAGCTTCCTAGCGTTATGGATGCTGAGGCCCGGTGAGCGGCCGAAAAGGCAGATTTCAACTGTGTCGGGCTTTATGCTCCAATTCCTCGTCTAGGCCTGATGATACCGTGGGTAGGTTGACAGACTCACCGCCAAGGACGGATGCTGTGACGGCTACGACGTAGGCAGATACTGATCGAGTATCCCTCTGTTTGTCCCGCTCAATCGGGTGAACTGTTCCTCTATTCCATCGTCATGTATAGAATTAGGTTGGCTCCTCATTTCTCCGACCATGGCGTTTCGAGATCGCTTCCAATCTGCGATCTAGAACACTTTTCGAGGTCGAGGACATAACTGGGAGACGTCAATCGCAAAGGCGGTGATGGTAAGTAATGTGGTCCGCCCCACACTCCTTGCGGCGGGGTTTGCCAGTTGGTCGATATTCCGCCAGGTCACTTCCTGCGAAGACGAGATCCATTGTTCTGTTCCAGTTCGGGCTGTAGGAGGGGAAGATGCCCCGTGGCAGGACCCGAGAGGGGTTCAAAGTCATCTATGAGAGCAAGGATCTCTAGCGTCTCATCCCTCAGCGTAAAGTGCCTACCACCCTACCACCCCACGGCTTGTCATTTTGGGTAAAGTCGACGACGAGGCTGAGCTCGTCTCCTTGACCATGCCCTCTGACAGCTTCTCGGGCCAGTGCTCTGAAGCCTGAGGCGCTTGTTGACCTGCTAACGGCACATGTATCGAGAATGCTCGAAATGGCCTTTCCTCAATCTTGGCTTACATCGAGGTCATTTCTGCCGACGTATCTGGCAACCTGAACGGAGGAACGAGTAGGCTGGGCTTGATCCGGAGGGAACCGTATCCCCACAGGGTCTTAGCTGACGAGGATTTGCTCCAACCTTGAGTGGTGCGAGAGCGGAGCGATCACCTCTCCAATCGTCACGCGTAGACTTGCCGGTTCTGGGATCATTAGTAGACCATGACGTTGTAGCCATTGGTCATGCATCAAGATATGCGATAGCCCTAGCTCTCGATCCAGATGATGACGTTCGACAGGAATGGAATGAACTATCGGAGAAGCTCCATATACAGCGAATAGGTCAGATCAGCTGCCAGTGGTGGCCGTTGATAAGCAGCGTCTCGTCCGCTTGGCCCTCCATTACTGCATGTGTACAGCTTTGTGCATATCTGGCCCACACAACCTCGGTCAGATTTACCTTGAGACCTCCTTGTGGCCGTATTTTCGTCACTCATAGGTTTGGATGTCTATCATCTCCATTCCTTCGTGGACGATCCATCTCGCCAGCAGTCTGTCTCGTGCTGATGAGTGGAGAATGGGATCACTGATCAATACACCTTGACGACAGCTTGGCTGAACTAGCGGATCGGGTTGATTTGTGCCTGGTCTTACTATCACTGCGTTTGGCGCTTCCCTGAACACTACAACGGCCTTATCTGGACAGAGGGTGTCACAATGATCTCGATTAACTTTGGCCGGGCACCATGATTCCCCAAGTTTGTGCATAGTCGAAGCGAGCCACGTTGGCGCGACGTCCGCGCCGTCCTCGAGATGCGAAGGAGGGGCTTGGTCTCCTCCTCCTCTTCGGCTCCGTCTGCACGTCTGCGCAGACCACCTGGCAGGTTGGTTCTTACCTTTTCCAACCCCTATTGACTGCATCTTTCAAGGTGTGCGAAGTCGCTCATGTGCTCCTTGGCACTATTGAGGTTGAGCACGATAGAGCATTTTGCGATAAATTTGAGACTGGAGAAGCTGACCGACTAGGGTCGACTGAGGCTTCTCGGAGAAGATGGTTGCGAGGCTGGCGAGGTGGGTGAACAACGACTCGCAGCGGACACGTCTGCCACCACCTGGGCCCAGCTTTATGCTGTCTGGACTTGATCGTTCGCACTGTTCTTGACCTTTTTTCTTTGGTTCTCCCTTTCCACTACGCTAATATCGGCTGCATTCTCTTGACCGGGTTTCAGAAGCTCCTCGATCATGTTCTCGTCCTTCTGTGATGTGCTCCCCTATTGCTCCACGATGCCTTCGAACTCCTGTGTCAGGTCTCCGTTACCTTGCGATGTGTGAGCAACAATCCTTGTCCTGCCTGCAAGCGTCATACTCTGGCCATGGATTTCCCGTCTAAGGTCTGACTCCATCAATCCGCCCATGGAATAAGCTGATCCTCGCATCATTTTCCTATATCATTTGTAGGGGAGCTCATTTTTAGCGACCTGCATCTTCCACCAGCCGTGAGAGCTGGACTGTGGCTGGTGTCAGTCTCTCCCCATTCCTGATCTTGTCTGCGCCTGTTCGGTGAACGACCGCACTTGCATTTCTCTTCTCGAGGATTGTCTATCTCTTCTCAGATCTTCCTCCGGCTTCGTCATACCGCTTCGGTGATAGATAGGACACGTTCGGTTAACTTTCTTGGCTGTGGTGATAGGTCTGACGTCTGGTAAGAGCTCGCTATGGGGTGAGCTTCTTCGAGTGGGATGGCCATCATTAACACGTTTGAAATGTTGGCTCTTTGGAAAGCAGCCACCAACCTCTGCCGCTGAGAGATCATGGGTCCGACGAATGCGCTCGTCTTCTATTGACTCTTAAGCAGCCTTGCAAATGTGGAATCGTAGCCAGCCCCTCGGACAGGGCCAAGTTCGGCTTTGTTTGCCATATCTCGTTTTGGCCACGCAGCCCCCAAAAGAACGCATGGAAGCTCCCGCCGAAGCTTGGCATGATCCACCACTGCAACATCCTTATCTCTGGCAATCCACTGGGGCACTGTGGAGGCAATTCCGGAGGCTGCTTGGCAGGCCAATCAGTGAGGATATCAGCAAGGGAGGCAAGGGAGGCAGCGAAGCCTACGGGCCTTGCCCGGGGTGGGCGGATCGCGTTGAGATGAACCCGACGGACATTTTACTGTGTCAGGCAGGTTACTTGGTGGCATCCTTGCTATTCGCCTTCCAGCGCTGGTCTCCATTACTTGAGAAGGTGCATGAGCCTGCGTCGAAAAGCCCTCACGACGGTCTCGTGATGCCCAAGAGGATCTGGCGAACCCCGATCATGAGAGAGGCGCCACATCGGTGGGCGCAAGCGATTGCTTCTGCTGCTTCTCCACCCAGCAAATGCCCTCCATCTCCGCAAAGCCGAGGCAGGGCTCGCTAAATGAAGGCGCGCCGGCACGATGTCACCTAATTGTGGCTAATCGTGGCGATCGCCAATGAGCGTCCTGAACGGGCCCGGGTTGTGTGCCGCCCGAACCACTCTCGATGCGACAACACAAAGCTCCTATCTATGATTTGCCATAGCTGGCTGGTCGCTAATGCCCTCGCAGCTTAAGGGTGCTTGTAGTGCTTGCCGATACTTGGGAAGCTTGGTGCTTTAAAACCGGGGTGACCGCGGTCTTCCTCTGACACGGTTTTGTTTCTTTCATTCCTCCCTCTCGTCTGTCGCCAAGATGAGTTTCGAGAACAAAACCAACACTCTCAATGAGAAGTACGCCACCGACGATGTCCCGGACCATGAGCCGGGCTCGTTCGCCGCTCATGCACGTGGTCGACAGTTCAGTGTCGACCCAGAGGATCGTGCTCTGGTGGAAGGAGACCAGTACGTGCTTCATCGCGAGCTGAAGGGTCGACATATGCAAATGATTGCCATGTAAGTACAAACACCGAGTGCCCCAAGCTCATGCTTACCGACCTTTTAGTGGTGGTGCAATTGGTGCAGGTCTATTCGTTAGTTCTGGTGGTGCTTTCCAGACCGGTGGACCTGCTTCTGTGCTCCTTGGTTTTATAATCATTGGTGAGTTACATATTCTGCGAGAAACATAATCGATAGCTAACCGTTTTTCTTCCCAGGTCTCATGGTGTATGTCTCCTAGATATTGGAAGGCCTTTGTCCTCAGCTCACACTCCTGGTTAGCTATCTCATGATGCAAGCTCTCGCGGAGATGTCCGTTATGTATCCGGTCAATGGTGCTTTCACGATGTACATCTGTCGCTTCGTTGATCCATCCTTTGGGTTTGCCTGCGCCTGGGAGTACGCCATCAGTTGGTTGACTGTCCTTCCCTTCGAAATTTCCGCTGCCTGCAACATCATTCACTATTGGCATGGATCGGACGGCATCAACAATGCCGCGTGGATCGTCCCGCTGCTCGTCGCCTTGATGGTTATTCAGATTTTCGGTGTGAGGGGATATGGCGAGGTAAGCCCACCGAAAGTCTTCCGGGCAATGAGCTAATTGGATAGGTCGAATTTGGCCTCAGTATTCTCAAGATTATTGCCTGCATAGGCTTCATGATCCTCGGAATAATAATTGACTGCGGCGGCGTTCCGTCAGACGACAGAGGCTACATTGGGGCCAGATACTGGTAATCTCGCCCTAACAGTAGCTACCGACAAGACTGATAGTTGGAAATAGGCATTCCCCTTGGTCGGCGTTCCTCAACGGCTTTCACGGCTTCTGCAGTGTCTTCGTCACCGCGGCGTTCGCCTACACTGGAACTGAGCTGACCGGACTGGCTGCTGCGGAGACGGCCAACCCGAAGAAGGAGATTCCCCGGGCCTCAAAGCAGGTCGTATGGCGTATCGGCATCTTCTACATTGTCAACCTCTTCCTCGTTGGTTTGATCGTACCGGCAGACAGCCCCTTGTATAGTGGCGAAGGCTCCGAATCGCGTCACTCACCTTTTGTCATCGCAATTCAGCTTGCTGGCATCAAGGTCCTCCCATCAATCTTCAATGCGGTCATCTTGATCTCTGTCATGAGCGTTGCCAATTCCTGCACTTTTGGCTCGACTCGAACAATTCAGGCTCTCGCTGCAAATGGTGCGTTTTACGAATTCAAAACTCCCTACGACGCTAACTTCATATATAGGTATGGGTCCCAAGATACTGGCCTACGTTGACAAGAAAGGCCGTCCCATGTCCGTGGTGGTCCTCCAGCTTCTATTCGGCTGTCTGGCATTTATCAACTTGGCGAGTAATGGAGGAACGATCTTCAACTGGCTCCTGTCGTTGTCAGGTCTCTCTATTCTCTTCATCTACAGCGGTATCGCTCTGGCCCACATTCGCTTCCGCGCAGCTTGGTAAGTAGCAGAATGCACCCTCCGCTTCTCTCCTCAGAGTCTAATGACTTTCAGGGCTCACAACGGTCATTCCTTGGACGAGCTCCCCTTCAGGGCTGCTTTCGGCGTCTGGGGCTCGTGGGTGTGCCTGCTCATCAACGTTGTCAGCCTCATGGCTCAGTTTTACGTCGCACTCTATCCAGTCGGGGGCCCTTACTTGGATGCCAATACCTTTTTCCAACTTTACCTCGCTGGTCCCCTGCTCATCTTCCTCTACCTGTGCTGGAAGATCTACAGCTGGTTTGTTCGGCCATCAGACCGCCCGTTGTTCATCAGAACCAAAGATATTGATATCTATACGGGCATGAGAGAGAGCCAGCGAGCCGTTAGTGGTGCAGATGTCCCCGAGGATCAGAGGCGCGCTAGCATAATGGAGATGCAGGAGGAAAACAAGAAGAGAGGTGCCAAAGATTATGTCATGGCAGCCATCAGAAACCTCATCTAAACTATCAAAATTCAGTATTGATCATCTTGTTCGAGATGGCGATCAGTAGCAGCAATGCATCGGTGCAAGCGGTGGAGGTTTGAGGCTGTGTTGATCTGCAGTTGTGATAGTGTGGTCAAACGCACGGCGAATTACGAACTGAGCAATTCAGACCGTGTACCTGGGAAATATCTCTGGCCACTTCAGAAGCTAAAATACCCTTAGACTTTCCCTGCATATGTTTCAAAATACTTGGATTGCGTATAGGAAACGGCCTGGTCAAGTATGAAGTCCGTTACTCTGGATCTGCTACCTTTAAGATTGCCTTTCCCACTGCTCTGTTGCTCTCAAGCATATCGACAAAGGCCTGTGCAGCGTTTTCAATCCCTTCGGTGATGTGTTCTATGCTTCGAATCTTGCCATCTTTGAGCCACTGTGAAGGAAGTACATGTCAGTATACGGTCAATGTACTCAACTTGTTTTGAGGAGGCAATTGGTTATCTCACTTGGAGCATTTTCTCGTCCCTGAGTTGACGCCATCTGGGACCGAAACGTGGGTCCGTAACGATGAAGCCTTCCATTTTAAGTCGCTTCGAGACGATGTTGAATAGACCCTTCACGCCATACTGCTCAGCCAGAGGTTTGTTGTACTGAGATATCATGCCACATTCAACTACGCATAGATAATTAGCCAGAAACAAGTCTGAAGAACACCTGCGACACTTACTGAGTCTCCCAAAGTTGTTCATAGAACCAAGGGCGGCCTCAAGTTGCTCGCCTCCAACGTTGTCATAGTAGATGTCGATCCCTTGGGGTGCCAGTCGTCGCAAAGCGTCCGCTGCCTTCTCCTTTTTATAATTGAAGCCATCATCAAAACCCACCTCCTTGATAAGACTCAGCTTTGTATCATCGCCGACACTACCAATAACCGTCAAACCCTCGATCCTGGCAATCTGGCCGACAAAAAGCCCGACAGCACCGGCGGCTGACGAGACGAAGATGGTTTCTCCCCTTTTTGGCGCTCCAAGCTCATAGAGACTGGAGAACGCTGTCAGACCAGTCGAACCTAGTAGACTAAGCCAATTGGATAGCGGCGCGTTGGGAATGGGGTGGGCTTTGCGGACGAGGTCTCGCGAGAGGAGTTCGTCAGGTATGGCGCTATATTCCGCTACCGGGAATTGGCCGTACACAATGTCTCCTCTGGTGTATTTGCCGTTGTCGGATTTGATGACTTGGACCAGGGCGTACGCAGTCATCGGCTCACCGAGGGTGTATGCGGGAGAGTATGATTTCGCCTCTGCAGTCCGCATCCGGCCTCTCATGTAAGGGTCGAGGCTGACATAGAGCGTCTTGCCGGTTACCCCTCCATGAGGCGGATCCTGCGCAACATCGAATTTCCGCTCCTCGATGCCTAGGTGCACATCTGGAACCGGTGCATGGATCGGCACGCTTTTGAAGATCAGGCTCTTGTTTTGAACCATGATGAGGAGACTGAGAAAGTTAGGTTTTGAGCGAAGCCATGTCCCGAGGCTTAAGCGGGTGTTATAAGTAAGCCCAGGAAGCTAGGGCCCGGGTAGCACAGGAAGGTCAGCCGGGACATAATAATATATATCGGGCTCAGGGCCTTGCGAGGAAGTATCCAAGCACACATGAACTGAGATGTCCCAAAAGCAAGAAGTAGTTTAATCAATTCTCTCAGTAATATGGAATGTAACTATACAAGGGCGTTCTCAGTGTGAGGAAACTGTGAGCTATATCGTGAAGTTACTCAGGGCTTAGACTTCTAGAAAACCCTTACCAATCCAAAGGGAATGGGCCAAAAGGAAAGCCGACAGCAGAGCCTCGGCCTTTGAAGGCAAAGCAGGAGAGAAGAGAATGACAAAGAGAGAGGGCATGAGGTAGAAAGTCGAGGATAACAAATATCCCAAGGTTCATATCCCCTTAACCACACCGCCATCGATCCTAACTGCAGAGCCAGTCATCCAGCGCGCCAGTGGAGATAGTAAATACGCGACAAGCTCTGCGATTTCCTCGGGCTTTCCAAATCGGGGTATACCCATGGACTTCAGCAAGTTGCCTTTGGCCTCTTCCAGGGGGATCTCTTTGGCGCGAGCAGATTCCGTGGCCATCGTCACCAGTCGTTCAGTCTCAACAGGGCCAGGCAATATTGTGTTGACCTGCACACCATCTTCGAGTCCACGATCCGCAAACGCCTTGGACAACGCATTGACAGAGGAATTAACAACCGCAACCGCCGCATTGCCTGCTTTAGGGGCCTCAGCCGCCACGCCGGACATGAACAACACAGCACCCTTGGAGATTTTCAGGTACGGCCAGGCCTCGAGGGTCAGTCGCCGTGCGCCATGCAGTTTCAGATTGAATCCGTCGTTCCACTGTTCGTCGGTCAGTTTGAAAAGGTCGATTGGCTTAACGGAACCGGCATTGTTGAAGAGGGCATCAATCCTCCCAAACTTATCGACCGCTGCTGCCACTACTGCCGTTGCGGACGCTGGCAGGGAGAGGTCCACCGGGATGATGAGTGTTTTGGCCCCTGCTGCTTCTACCTGCGCTGCAACCTGCGCTAGCAGCGGCTCGTTGCGGGCAACCAGAACAATTGCTGAGTAGATTTGGGCGAGTCGGATCGCAGACGCCGCTCCTAGTCCTTGACTTGCCCCAGTAATGATCGCAACAGCCTGAGTTTGAGCCATTGTCAAGGAGATGACTAGTAAAACTCCTCTACATGAATGAATTAAAAAAGTCAGATCAGGAGAAACACTGTGACTCTAGATAGCTGTATTCGAGACTGGTACCGAGGGACGTAATACCAGTCTAAGGAGTAGGAGGAGGGATAGAATGGGGAGGAGGTGATGGTGGTTCTCAACGGCCTCTTTATCTATATACTCGGCAAATAAGGAACTCAATGTTCCGGAAATTCCCCTTCCCCGCACTGTCAAGACTAATACTATTCTAGGAAGGTCCATAAGTTCTAATTAAAGTGGCAAGAGTGGTTAATATTCTAGCTGCTGTCAAGGGCTAAGTGTATTACGTCACTGAGTGATCACCGGCATTTCACCGGCCTTGCGTGTTGCCCTAGCCTAACTGAGAAGGTTAGCCGGGCTAGATTTTCACATCGGCACGCCAAACTGCCGCGCGCGCGTCCCCACTAGTTAGATAGAAGATCAATCAATCAAGTTGGTCCTATAGATTATGAGCCCCTAAAACGTTTGATTTCGCGTTATTCAATCTTCGTTTGATTCATCCTAGGTCGTCTTATCTTAGCTATCGTTACTAGGACTAACCTAGACTTCTTCGCGTCGGATTCGGTGGTGTTGGCCGTAGGTGTAGAGGCGTGAAGACCGCCTTCGATATATAAGTTAGGAAAAACTTATAGGATCGAATGGGTAGATGAGTTGGACATAAAGATGTATAATGGCGATAGAACTCTATATAACAATTTCCACCATTCTGTTGGAACGGGGAACCACTTTCAAGACCTAGACTATTGGCAACGCCCCAATTCTACATAGAAAAGTCAGCCTTACCACTACCGTGGAGCTTTACGACCCGAAAACTCTGTACGGCTAGATGTACGATAGGATATGGAAAGGTATAAAGAGAGTGCTATGATTAGGAATGTCCCTACTAAATGTGTACACAAATCGTCTCGGATACTCAATATTTGATATGTAGGTAGATGCACGATTTCACACATTCTGGTTCCATACCCTTTGAACTAATCATAGTCCTTGTGCGCCAACACACTCTCGCCATCACAAGCTGAGGAGCTTCTTCCTCGGAGTCGACCAGTACATATCTCACGCAAGGCCCACGATATTTGGCTGTGGGCGATGGATTGACGCCCAGGGTTTATTTTGGCAAGAGCTAGGAGCTCCTTACACATTTGAATACGTACACTTAGAACTCGTCACTGACTCCAAGGTTGGAAACAAATCAATCAATGTATATCGGATCACCTGTACTTTGGATGTTCGGCAGCTGGAGTCCATGTGTGTTTCCGTTCGCCACATTCGACACATGGATGGGGTAGCACCGCCAGCAGTGATCTGAAGAGCAAATCGTGATAGGACGTCGCCCTCCGTATGGGCGAGTCGTCCCCAGGATCCCGACTGCGGCTAGCCGCGCGATCCAGTTGTTGTGGGCTCGTATGACAATTGGTTCGATTGAGGCATCCAGAAGGTCATTCCAACCCTCAACAGAGATTAGGTCCGAGACAAAAGCGGGGCTACCGTCATGCCTTTTCGGGTCCTTACAAGGACAAGGGTGGAACCGATGTAAAATCCCTGGATCGCTAAGTGACTTGAGTATATCAACGTCGCCCACCCATACACCTGAGTCGTACACCGAAACGACCGATTCCAAGAAATATATTTGGCTGTCTTGGCCTTGTTCATCGCTAATATGAGCTGGCCGGTAATAGTATGTGAATGACAAGTGAAGCGTGGTCCCACTCAAATGATTCTCTGGTTTCGCATCGAAAGACGAATTGCTCGCCACCTTCTAAGAGGAGGGTTTTATGGCTCGCACTATCGGCTCTTTTGGTGGAATTAGCAATGTCAAACCTGGTTTTCCAACATTGCCGATGGCGTGTACCATTTCGTACAGCTTCGGTGTAATTGAGGGATCGCATAGCAACTGTGTCAAATTGCGTTACTTAAGGTGCAAGACATCTCAAGGCGGACAAACTTACCCGCATATCAACATATAAGGAGTCCTCATACGCCATCGCGAAAACCCGCTCCATGACATCTGGATCAATGTCAATCTCGGTAACCATATATGCTAGACATGAGAAAGCCACTTCAATTTCGAACGGAGCATAAGTGCTACTACTCAGCGATCCAGCGATTCTTTTGAGGATGTATGACTTGTACCACTTGGCGCTTTGAATGGGTCGCTCGAAGGTGCGAACAGAGATTTTGGCCGTGGGTATAACTCTGAAAAGCTTGCAGAGCGGCGACAACGCCAGTATTGTTGCTTCAACAGGCGATGGCAAGTCAAGGCGCCCATTGATATAGTTCGTCAAGTTTTTGACGGAGCATAACGTGGGTGCATAGCGAGTCGCGCAGCATAGCGAGTCGCGCACTTTCCGCGCTATATATTACCTTCAACTTATTCCTTTAAGTACTCCACCAAAACAAATGAAATCTACTCAGAAAGAAGCTAGAATACTCCTTGCCCTTCAAGCTCTTAAACGCGATCCAAAACAGAGCGTACAATCTATTGCTAAAGTCTATAATATCCCTAAAGTAACCCTCCGTAATCGAAGGAAGGGTCGACCTTTCCGACGCGACTAACCAGCGAATTCTCGAAATTTAACCGACCTTAAAGAATCAGTCCTCGTACGAGAGGTCCTTAACCTATGTTCGCGAGGATTTCCTCCCCGACTTAGTGGTGTAGGAGATATAGCTAATAAACTGCGTATAACGCGTAGCGCGTTACGCGTTAGACCGCGCTAGGTATCGAACTTTATTAAACGACATTAAGAGCTACGAACGCGATTTATACGTAGATACGACTACTAGAGAGCCTAATGCGAAGATCTAGTAACTATTTAAGTCTAGTTTAACCTCGTACGGAACGTAATAGCTAAGTATAGGATCTATAAAGATAACACTTAGAACTTTAATAAGACTAGGTTTATAATAGGCCTAATCTTATCCGTAATAGTTATAATAAGTTCTAAAGAGTATAGAAAGGTTAAGATAATATAGCCTAGTAATGTAAGGGAAGCGGTGGATAGACAGGTTGATAGAAGCAATAACGCCTAGTACTGATAGCTCTAGCCCTATATACAGAGACTCAAAGCCTTGAAGAGGGTTTGAG